AAAGGAGGAGGAGAAGAGGAAGAAAAAAGAAGGGAGGAAGGTACGGTAGGGAAGTGGAAAAGGGGGTAGGGAGGATGGGAGGAAGTGATTCTAATGGGGAAATAGAGTAGAAAAAACATTCACATGGGGAGTAAAGGTAGGTACCCTCCTTGGCCCATTATTCAGTATGGATCACACTGCTTTGAGCTGTATGAACTTGGTCATGTTAAGACACCAGTGGAAATAGGAAATAGGAGACCCACATATGGCAATAGGAAACCTCACATAAGCTCACCTTAAACAAAGGTGCATAATACAGAGCATACCACCTATGGGTGTTGACAAAGGGTGGTGGTTGTTCATACCTTGCCTCTCCCTCTCAACCCCTTCAACACACACACTGAGAAAAGCAATAATTAATGCGCATCCAGAACACCCAACCTGCCAGGAATGAGGCTAGCCTAACAGTATCTTAGAATGATAATTTTATCCAGGATTCTAAATGACGATGAACAGAAACCAGCTTGACAGAACTTCACCAAATGCACATGCATACACATGGACACACAACCCAAACCCCCTCAAACACATAAAATCTATACAAAGAATATTGTGCCTATGGGAGACTATGTGGGAAGGCTGGGAGGCCAGGCTCACAGGGTCTGAAGCCCAATTTCAAGTTCCAATGAGGCCACACAGTGGTCTTGTGAGGAGATCCAGAGTGCTCTCTGCACACTTAGCTGTGATTCTAGGTCTGTCCCTGGGACTGTCTCTGTAGTGCCAGGTCTGTCCTTGGTACTGTTCCCATGGTGCTAGGTCGGCCCCTGAAAGCTGACATGGGTTGCAGCCACTCCCAGCCCCCTCATAAAAAATGGTTTCTACAGGGTCTCCACGTCTTATCCCCCTTAGCTACTGCTGCAAAGACTTGGATTGGTACGCCTGATTGGGAGGCAGAGAGAAAGTCTAGACCAGGTGCCACTCAGGAAAAGGGGAGACTGGGAGAACAGATGCTTGCATTCTCAACAGCTGTAATGGGGTCAGGTTGGGTTCTGCTCCCTAGATGTAGGAAGGAAAGCTGACTAGTAAGCATCCCAAAATATTGGTAAAGATCACCCACAGTTGGTTCCTGGGACTTTATTTTCTATATGAGAACATTCAGGCCTAGCCATTGGCACATGAGCCAGGTCTATTCTCTTGACCGCTGTCCCAACAAATGTGATAACAAGAACAACATTCACCTCAGCAAAGCCTCCCACACTCAGTCGTCATTTCTCTGACTCATTTAAGTGGGATCTGCTGGGAGTCAACACCCACTGTCAATTCTTCAGCTGTCCCCCTTAGAGGAACAGAGTTTTGTAGAGTGCAGCTATTGAGTTTGTCCTTGGAACGGAGTCCCAGGAAACTCAAATCTCTGAACAGACCCCATTCTTCCTGGAATACCTATGTCTCTGTGTATGCACATAATGGGATTCTGAATGGACAGCAAATGGCATAGTTGAGGTCATTCTTCCTATACAAATACCACTCATTACCCAGGGAGAGTAAAGAGGAATCTCCTGTCTATACCACCAACAGCTTTGTATCTTATTTCATTAATTGGCTACATGAAAGTTCATCATTCACTACCTGCTCCTGCCCCCAACCCTTACAAAACCAGGTAACTTTATCTAGTGAGTTCTGGAGTCAGTCTCTTATTTTTATTTAACATACTTATTTTTATTTTATTTGAAAGACAGAGACAGGAAGGGGGGAGGGAGGAAGGGAGGGAAGGAGAGAGAGAGAAAGAGAGAGAGAGAGAGAGAGAGAGAATCTTCCATCTGTTGGTTCCCTTCTCAAATGCCTGCAATTGTCATGGTTGGGCCAGACTGAAGCCAGAAGCCTGAAACTCAATCTGGTTTTCCCAGGTGGATGGCATGGACCCAAGTACTGAAACTCTTACTTGCTGCTTCCCGGAGTGTGTACTTACAGGAAGCTGGATCAGAAGTGGAGGCAGGACTTGAACTCAGGCGCTCCACTATGAGATGAGGGCATCAAAACAGTATCTTAAGCACTGTGCCAAGCACCCACCCCTAGTGTCAGTCTCTTTGGGTTTAAGTCCAAGCTCTACTACTTAACTTAGTATTCTTAATTTACCACCCACATGCCTCAGTTTTCTCTTTTGCAAAAGCAGTACAACAAAAGAATTATTATGAGAAGAAGATTTTATAAATATGCTTGGTATATTATAGGTGTTCAGTAAATAGCAGTATCAGAACACTTAAAATCTGGTAGAGAGTAACAGACTATATAAAGATGGATCTATGAGTCTCATCCTCTTGCTAATACCCTCAGCTTTTTCTTTTCCTCTAAACACTCCAGTTAACACAGTTTGAAAAACCATTCATCTGGTCAAATATAATCATTTTCGCCAAAACACAATAGAAGAAGCAAGATCTGAGGAAGAAGTAAAGCAAACTGGGGCTGGACTTGCAGTCTGGTGGTATTTCCTACAGTCCCCAGGACTAAATGCTGAGAATTCAGTTCTTTTCCTAAGATTTGGTGAACAACATCCTGATTTTCACCTATTCTTTTCTTCAGGTTCCAAAAGGCCAGGGTGGGAATATACCCCACATCCGTGGACCAAGGATTAACTACTGTTGTAGGGAAAGGGACAGACAGTAAATATTTTAGGTTTTTAGGACCACAGGGCCCCTGTTTCAAGCACTCCATTTTACTGAGAAAGTAGCAATTGACGATGTCAATGAATGAGTGGAGAGCTATTTTCCAAGAAAGCCTTGCTTACAAACACAGGTAGTAAGAGGATTCTGCCTCATGGACTACTGTTTGCAGGTGATTTCCATGGATGATGACCTTCTATCTGTAAGAGACTTTTATTGTTGCGAAGTTCTAAAGCTACATAGCACATAGAGATCAGGGCCAAGGTATCTCTTGTGGGGTACCATATCCTACCTTCACCACATCCTACCTTCTTCCCTGAAGTACTTGCTTACCTGCCACATTAGCGTGAGTAACATAGGCATGCATTTTCTAACATGGTGGTGTGGGAGTAACATTATTTGCCAGGAGGATTATGGTGAGGGCTGGGATTTGGTTCAAACTGAGCTCAAAACTAAGAAATTTGGTCACTTGCCTTGGAGATCACACAACAGAAAGGCAGGTTCCTAGAGACCACCTAATCTAATCATTTCCATCTACAGAAGGTAAACTGAAGGTCAGGTGAGGAAAGCAACTTGAACAGCTTTAAGCAAGTTCTGAGCACAGCTGGGACCTGACTCTGGTTTTGTTAATATTAGTCCAAGGTACTTTCTACCAGAATGCTAGAGTAGTATCAAGATTTTTTCAAATCAACATAGAAGTGGGGGTGATCTCCTTTAATTAAAACTTCCAAGCCTTGTCTAGAAACTCCCCTGTCCTTTGTCTGCCTCCTCCCGTTTTCCAATCCCCATTTTCAGAGAATCTCTATGGTGTTGCTCTGTCCTCACTCCTTGCCAAGGAGATAGTACGTTCTCAATAAATGTGCAGTGGGAATTGAAGGAAAATGAAATGGCTAATGATCTTTACCTTCTCGGAGCTCACAATCTTTTGGGAAAAGAGAGGGGCTAACACCGCACCCCTGTAACTCGCTGCAGATGCGAGGATGCGATGACATCTCCTTCCCTTTAGTCCTTCTAGAAAATTGCCTTTCAGTGAGAAATCTTCCCACCAGGGTTTTCATCCCCTCTGTAGCTGCCCCTTCCTTTTTTCAGATAGAGCACCTCTGTCTTTTGTACTTGCAAATGAATTGCGATTAGTTTTCACCTCCAGCCCTAGGGATTAGCTGGAGGACCTTTGATCTTCAGGTATCGATTTGCATCTTAAAGGAAGTATGATCTCATCTGGGCCAGCTCAAAATTCCATCCCTGCCCCCCAACCCCTGTCTGTTTACCAGCCCCGGGCTGGCCAGGGCCTCCCAAGTGGGGCTGAAACAGCCAGATCAGCCAGACTCTGAGAAGGCAGAGGAAAACACATTTCCCATCTGACTCGGGAAAGGTGGGAAAAGGACGTTTGCTTTCTAAACACAGGCCGGTCTGCTATTTCTCCTTCTTCACGTCAGAGAGACTGCCCAAGGTTCTGAGCCTGCCGAGGTGACCTTGGAGGTTCCTGGATCCTGGTTAGAGATTATGCCAAAAAATGGGCTTGAGAATCAGATAAAATCAGGTTCAAGTCCTACTTCTGTCTTCAATCACTTCTGACCTGTGCAACTCTGAAGTTGTATAGCCTCTCTGTTGTTTTTGTTTTTGTTTTTGTTTTTGTTTTTTTTTTTGACAGGCAGAGTGGACAGTGAGAGACAGAGAGAAAGGTCTTCCTTTTGCCATTGGTTCACCCTCCAATGGCCAGCGTGCTGCGGCCGGCGCACCGCGCTGATCCAATGGCAGGAGCCAGGTACTTATCCTGGTCTCCCATGGGGTGCAGGGCCCAAGCACTTCGGCCATCCTCCACTGCACTCCCGGGCCATAGCAGAGAGCTGGCCTGGAAGAGGGACAACCGGGACAGAATCCGGCGCCCCGACCGGGACTAGAACCTGGTGTGCCGGTGCCGCAAGGCGGAGGATTAGCCTAGTGAGCCGCGGCTCTGGCACCTCTCTGACTTTTGCTTTTTCTTTTAACACAGGCAAAAAAAGAAAAAAAAAGAAAAAAGAAAAAAGCCTTGCACCTCTATAGGAATAGCCACCATAGGGAGTTGGTGTGATGAAGAGCAATAATGATGCCTATAAGATAAAACGCTTAATTTTTAAAAAATTCCATGGCATGGTCATCATCTATAAGAACCTAAGCTTTCAGTGGTAGTTATATCTGCTAGCTTTTTGGTGGTGGTTTTTTTTTTTTTATTGCCGCATTTCATGCAGTCTGAAACAGCGTTTGGCACATAGGAGGCATTCTATGCACATGTGCAACATCAAGGAGTAAATCATCACCTAGTCATAACTGTTGTTGTTATTGTAATTGTCCAACCACATGACTGCAGACATGACAAAGACTTACCAATGCAGTTGAAGGAGACTTCTTGTTGGCAGAAGAGAGAGCAGCCGTCACCATTGATCTTATTCATATCATCACATTCCTCACCTTGGTCTCTGCAGAACAGATGTAGAAGAGAAATTTGGCAGATCAGCTTCAGCATCATGGCTGGACATGGAAAACTCCCTTGTCCTCCAACCCAGGCCATGAACTTTCTGTGAGACCTCAGGCAAGTCCCTTTCCTGCTTGAGTCTGTATCTTCATTTTTAAAACTGAGGTTAAGAAGAGGTGTAGATTTTGTAGAAATTATTTATGCATTTATTTTAGAGGCAGACACACACACATACAAAGAAAGAGACAGATAGCCAGATATATAGACAGAAAGTCAATCTGCCAGTTCACTCTTCAGATGCCTAAAATTGCCAATGCTGGGCCAGGGCTGAAGTCAGGAATCAGAACTCAATCTGGGGATCCCATGGGGGTGGCAGGTGCCTAATAACATGAGCCATCACTACTGCCTCCCAGGGTCTGCATTAGCAGGAAACTGCAATCAGGAGCCAGAGCTCCCCAGCATCTTAATTGATATGCTGGATGCCTACCTCTAAAGCTTTACATTTATAAGATACTGTTCTATTTGCCTTATGTTGTGTTGGTGATGACAAAGTGGAATTCCTATTTCAAGAGCAGTATATGAGATCTCAAGTCAGTTAACAAGTCAGGTGCAAGTGAGAAATGGATGAATGAATGAACACATACATGAAAGGGCCTGTTCCCTCTGTGTCTTAAGAAATCTCATGTCACTTTCATGATTTGATTTTAAGATGGTGGAGTTGAAGGAAAATTTGGAAGTTCTATAAAATCACTGATATTCTTTACTTGGCACCCTCTCTACTCCGCTGATACCCTACGTGGTGAGGATTTTTCACTTGTTCCAGTTTAGTGGTCTTTTTCATTGGAAAGTTTTGCTTTCTCCATTGGTGTGTCATTTCATAGCATCAAGAACTCCAAGGCCTGTGGGATTCTGCTGTTAAGAAATAAAAATGTCAGGGCCGGTGCTGTGGTGTAGCGGAAAAAGCCGCTGCCTGCAGTGCCATCATCCCATATGGGCGCTGGTTCCAGTCCCTGTGGCTCCACTCCCGATCCAGCTCTCTGCTATGGCCTAGGAAAACACTGGAAGACGACACAAGTGCTTGGGCCCCTGCACCATGTGGGAGACCCAGAAGAAGCTTTTGGCTCCTGGCTTCTGTCTGGCCCACGTCTGGCTCAGCTCCCGCCATTGCGGCCATCTGGGGAGTGAACCAATGGATGGAAGGTGTCTCTCCTCTCTCTCCTCTCTTTTTCTGGTTCTGCCTCTCTGTAACTCTGAGTTTCAAATAAATAAATAAATCTTTAAAGAAAAATAAAAATGTCTCCATCTTGCTTTTGTTGGAATCATTTGCATTATATAAGGGGGATTTTGCAGAGGTTGGGATAAGCAGAGAATGAGCAATGCTCTCTGAGTTGGGCTTAAGCAAGGAGGGGGCAAAAACAGTAAGAGTGGATGGATCATTGCCTTCTGGAAAATTCCTATCCTTTTAGAACTAGAAAAACTTGGAATTAGAATCCATCTTCCAAATATGCTGCATGATCATGGGTAAGCCATCTGACCTTTGTATCTGATCTTTCTATCCGTGACAATATAAATTTAAGTCAATTAAAAAGAAACAGATTAAAATTCCATTCCCCAGTCACAGTGGCCACATTTCAAATACGCAAAACGCACATGTGGCTAGTGGCTACTGTATTGGAAAGCACAGAACACATTTCCATCATTGCAGAAAATTCCATTGAACAGTGCTGAGCCTCAGCCTCCTCCTAAACAGGAGGTGATTAAGCCTACTCCTGAGAGTTTGGTGCAAGAATATAATTAATGTGGCTGGCACAGTGTGTGACCCATAGTAGATGCTCAGGGACTCACAGCTCCCATTCCTACTTAGCCCTGGGAGGTCTCTCCAGGGTGTGTGGCAGTGGTCCCTCCCTCCCTAGAGGCCAGTTAGGAACTGTCACAGCATGGAGGAGGTCTCAGACTTTTCCTTTCACTCAGGCAATTCACACTAGGCAATGTTTGTTGCTTTTAGGAGGTGTCAGAGTAGCAGTGGGGTGCCTCATAATCAATCTTTAAGATGGTTAGGACATTGCATTGATCTCTAAAGAGCCACCCAAGTTCCTCTTCTGTCTGCAAACCCACGGCAAAGAAGTCCACATTTTTAGTTTGTCCCATCAATCTCTGCCAGTGAACCTTACAGACTGGAAATTGCTGGTGACCTTCTGCTTCTTAGCTATTTCATGGGTTATCTGGGGAGAGACTTTTTTTTCCCCCTTAAACCTGGGCTGATTGCCTAAGCCACAAAGAATATTTCCAACCTGCCTTCCACCACCACCCAAACAGTATGTTCTAATGGTTTAACCAAAACATTAGGGTCACCACAAATATCTTCTAGGCATGACAGATCTATCATTAGATAGTGAGGTTCTGAGAAACCTTCTTTGACCTCAGACTGGGGTGGGTGGCCGTTCTTCTTTGTGCTCATAGATACCTAGCTCCATCTATCACAGCACTTGTCAAACTGATTGGTTTTGATTGTTCCTTGAAAATCTCCCATACCAGGCAGTTAGATGCCAAAGGAAGTGACAGAATTTTCATCATCCCAGCATCCCCTGCCTGGCATAAGCCTGGGATTCGGTAGACAGCATGCAGTCGTTCTTTTACCAGTCAGTTTTGCAGGGTTGTCAGGTTGCAATGCATTGCTGCATTCAGATGAGATCTGGGCCCTCAGTTCACACATTGGTTCTACTCCTTAGGGGTGTGTAAACCTGAGGAAACCTCTTTAATCTCTTTTGCACTAGTTGTCTTTTCAGTAAAGTATGGCAATACTTCTTAAGTTCTCCTTCTTTATAAGGAGGACTCGAGGAGATAATGTAGCACAGTGTCATATGCATAGCAGAGGCTTAGGAAATACTTATAATCCTATAGTAATTACGATAATATTCACCCAGTGCTTTCACATTTACGCTACAGATGAAATTGGAAGAATCTGCTGCTGTGAATCACTCTTCCACTAGGGGCCTCATTGAGTGTGGGTAGGTTTTTCTTTGCAAATTCTCCTACATAGATACCAAATGAGCAAATATTGCCCCAAGAAAAATCCTGGTAGCTGTTATCTCTCTTTTCTCCCCCAAAGTTTCCCTTTTCTTCTCTTTTTTCTTTAGGGAAACATTCAAAAGCTACATTCAGTTTTGCATAAAATATGTCAATGAGTACTTGATGTCTGCAGGCAAATTATCAGGTATTTGAACCCTACTTAGGATACTGATTCTAAGTAAAAATAATTTAAAAAATACTAAATTAATAATTCTGTTTAAAATTAATGATGATAATAATGGTATTAATAATTTTAGATCAGAGAGAAGGATAGTATGGTTGTCAGTATTTTAACAATGCATCTATATGCCAGGCTCCAAAATGAATAGACTGATTTGTATACCAGGCTTCAAATCTCGTGAGTTTCTTTTTTATTTTTCTTTGTGCTAACTTGAAAAATTATGAGTGGTCAGTAATGACTGCTGATGTTCCCTGGATATGCAGCCCAGTCTTGGACTAGCAAATGAAGGGCACATTCTCCCTAGAGACAGCTCTGCTGCATTGTTTAGGGTTCCTTCAGACAACAGTTGCACCAAAGGGTGCTAAGTTGGTGTTTAAACAAGGGAGAGAATAGTAAATGGTTTCATTTCCCCCTGATTTTGTAGCACTGAAAGCTATATCTCTATTTTCTGCTGTGGCATTTCAGTGTGGATCTTAGACACACACAAGAACACATATCAGTTGCATTCTTGAACAAATGAGGGGCTCTATAGTCAAGGTCTGAGGAGTCAAATTGTTGGCAATTAGCTGATTCGTACCTTATCTCACTTAAAAACTTAAACCTTTTGCATTATCTCTTCAATGTTAAAATCTTGACAATTTGGAAGTGAAATTATAGGTACAGGAAATTTAAGACATAAATATATATCCCTGAGATACAATTCTTCAGTAAGTCACTTAAAATTCTGCAGATAATTATTAGTGGCCTTGCCAGTGCCAATGATTTTAATGTCATTCCTTCTTTAAACATTTGGATTGGTATAATTTCACTGGAATACTTCAGTGGGGCAGGAGGATGGAATCTTATATGCACTACTACCTTTTTGTAGAGTAATTGGAAAAGATGTAACCCACTGGGCCTCATTTGATCATATTTGCAACACTTACTATTTTGTTCAATGCTAAGTCATGATCAGAAAACGTATTTCTGGATAATTCCTGATGTCTATGTGGACAGATATTCATGTGTGCAAACTCTTTTTACTTGCAGAACTGAATCACCCTTGTTGTATTCCTACTTAGTTCCTTCACCTTGAAACAGAGGTTCCAGTTTACATTATGCACACTAAATCATCAGTAACAAATTAAATTGCTCTTCCTCTCAAGCATCAGTGTTAGTGATGAATAAAAAGAGTCACCAATCACTTCTTTTTCAGATATGGCCTACACCAATGAGCTGATTCATATTCTGCACATCAGTGGATTCATCCAACTTTGAAGCAAATTCTCTCTTTATACAGCCCCTCCCCACACAGAAATAGTAATTGCAATTCCACATAGCACAGATATTATGTGACACCCAACAGTGCATTTAATGAAAGAATTTTGCCAATAGCTTGTTTTATCATCTCTGCACATAACGCTTATCATGGAATCTGTCAATAGCTTTAAAGTCTCTTAGCAATAATGTGACTTGCAAACAAATACTCTAGCAATCGAGAATATAATTTTAGCAATAAGGAACTTAATTTTGAATGACTACTTTTTCTTATATCCATATCTGTGGACAAATCTCTTAATTTTTTTGCCAGAAAGCATTTTGTGCTTATTCTGGAGGAAAAGAACTAAAAAGCTTACTTATTTATGTTTTTTAAACAATGCAAAAGTCTTCATGACTTCTTGTCCCTGTCTGGCAGTTGCATAACATCTTGCCCTGAGGACAAGGGCATGAATGCACTGATAATCCAATAGAATCCATTTTTTCAGATATTCACCTTTCTATTTTCTAGTCATCATTTTCCTTTTGAACTGAAATATTTATACTCACTGGCTTATTTGCCTCAGACTCATATTCATATTCAGCACCCGTTCTGAATCACTGTTTATTATTTATAGTTTCAACACTACAGTGAAATACCTTGCTATTTCTATGAGCCTTTGATGCATTTTTTTACATTGTGATATAACACAATACACAGAAAGAGCAAATAAGCATACAGTTTTAACAAATGTAGATAGTAACTGGCATGGAATGTGGAAGTGGTTTAACCTAGATGGACTGTTCCCTAACTACTGAGTGTAGGGTATTGCAGAAGAGACTAGTGGAATCCATGTGGCATGCATAAAACAATTAAGAACAGTAGTGAAGTGGTAGTAAGTAGCAAAGTGGTAGTAAGTACATTATGATAACTCTGTTTAATTCACCTACTGTATTATATACTTGAGAAATGTATGTGTCCAAAAAAGAGTTATTGTTTTTCTTCTGAAGCCAGGAAACTGCTGGAAGACCAGTTGAGAAACTGCTGGGGTTCCCTGGCAATTCATAGCTCATATATTGAAGGGTATATCATAAACTCTTCTCTTCAGTAAGCACACTGAATATCCCCATCCTAGTTAGCATCCTCTCTCCTCCTTTTTTCCTGAGCTAGATCTACTTACTTCTGAATAATGCCATCACCACAATACCCATCTCCGTGGATATATTTGACAGAAGGTGATGGTTCACTCTCTTCAGTTCCTGAAATGGTGATGACCTGGTACTGGTACATACTGCCATGTTTTAGATCCCTGGAAAGCAAAAAGAAGACTGTTAGCTCTACAAATATAATGCTGGCAAGGCAGACAAGAATAGCATGAAAAATTGATCCTTTTGGATATATCCTATCAGTCTTGCTCATTTTTGAAATTAAAGCACATTTATCCCAATAATTATTATTATCTACTGTGGTTAAGTTACTCTGGTAAACATGATGGACTGCACTAGAATGTATTGCAATAAAAAGCAGCACCAATGGACTGATAACCACAAACAGCACTGGATGATTTTTACCTTTAATTTTTAAAAAGATTTATTTATTTGTTTGAAAGGCAGAGTTACAGACACACACACACACACATACAGAGATCTTCTTTCCTCTGGTTCACTGCCCAAATGGCCGCAATGGCTGGAGTTAGGCTGATCTGAAACCAGAAGCTTCTTCTGGGGCTCTCACATGAATGCAGGGCCCAAGCACTTGGATCATCTTCTACTGCTTTCCCAGGCCCATTAGCAGGGAGCTGGATCAGAAGTGGAGCAAACGGGACTCGAACCAGAGGTCGTATGAGATGCTGGCACAGCAGGTGGTAGTTAACCAGCTATGCCACAGTATTGGCCCCTACCTTTAATTTTTATAACAAAATTTTCCTGGTGGAAAAGTATCATATATCATGTGACCCACAATAAAGGTGTCTGGGAGAAGCCATATAATAAAAATAAATAGAAAAAGCAAAAGTTTAAAGGTGGGAAACTATCTCTTCAGATTCTCTTGGGATTATCTGACTGAGTCCCCTTGTTTAAGGACCTAGACAGAAACCCTTTCCTTACACTACCTGTACAGTGATTCCCACCTCCCCACCACCTGGTCCTGCCTATGTCCCTCACTCTTGACTGAAATAATAACAGCAGCATCCATTACTTGAAAATTGGACATGCATGGATAAGCACTTTGCATAAATTTTGTCATTTGAGAATCAAAACAATCCTACACAGAAACTAGTATTTTCACGTTGATTTTGCATATGTTGAGCCTGAGGCAGAGAGAGGTTAAGCAACTGTACATATGCTGTTGAGCAATATACTATATCTTGTTTCTGTTATCCCTGTTTTAGTCCTGATACAGTGTTCACATCCCTTGCACTGTGGGTTTGCTACCAACTAGATTTTTTTCTGATACACTAGTAATACAAATTGACAAGTGGTCACACTTTTAACCCAGACAATGTTTATCGAGGGCTTAATGCTCTAGCACAGGGGAGACAGAACAGCAAAGAGAGGTTTCACTGGCGGGCTCTCCAAAGAAAGCTGAGCCATGGTTTTTATTGGACTGGGGAGGTGTTGCTGTGCTCTGACTTAGCCCTTTTGCCACATGGCACTTTAGTTTGCACTCAGTTCATGTTCTGCACAGGTGATGTTGCTCCTTCTGCACATGGCATGCTCAAAATAGCAGTGTGCTCATCGCTGTCTCCCCAGGAAGGTCATAGATTGGTCATATGAGGCTATTCTGGACATGCCCTTGGGTTCGGGAAGTCCCTAACAGCCCTGATGAGGGCCTTTTGGGCTTGTAGTTTAGGAATTTCTTGCTCCTAATTGGCTGGTAGTTGAGTGGGATGGTCTGTGGTTGCAGCAGGTCCAGTCAGGGACGGAAATATGGTCTGGAATGGAGGAGCTTGATTTCTCAGCCAAATCCTGTTTGTATCCTGTCTCAGGGTGTTGTCCTGGAATTGCAATACCAGGGGTTTGTCCCTGTCAGGACTTTAATTTTCCTAGATTGCATATCTTTCTGTCCTGAAGAATTCCTGAAACCACAAAATTAATATGGTGACTGCTAGTTACCCTTCAAGGCAAAGATATGTGTAGGCGTTGGAGCCGGTGAGTTTAAGCCCTGGCCTGTAGCACCATTATCCCATATGGGTGCTAGTTCGAGTCCTGGCTGCTCCATTTCTGATCCAGCTCCATGCTAATAAGCCTAGGAAAGCAGAAGAATATGACCCAAATTCTTGGGCCCCTGCACGCATGTGGGAGACCCAGAAGAAGCTCCTGGCTTCAGAATGGCTCAGCTCCGGCCATTGTGGGCATTTGGGAGTGAACTTGTGGATGGAAGAACTCTCATTCTCTGTCTCTACTTCTCTCTGTAACTCTTTTTTTTTTTTTTTTTTTTTTTTGACAGGCAGAGTGGATAGTGAGAGAGAGAGACAGGGAGAAAGGTCTTCCTTTACTGTTGGTTCACCCTCCAATGGCCGTTGTGGTTGGCGCGCTGCGGCAACCGCACCACGCCAATCCGAAGCCAGGAGCCAGGGGGTTCTCCTTGTTTCCCATGTAGGTTCAGGGCCCAAGGACTTGGGCCATCCTCCACTGCACTCCCTGGCCACAGCAGAGAGCTGGACTGGAAGAGGAGAAAGTGGGACAGAACCGGCGCCCCGACCAGGGCTAGAACCCGGTGTGCTGGCGCTGTAGGCAGAGTATTAGCCTATTAAGCCGTGGCGCCGGCCCTCTCTATAACTCTTTCAGATAAATAAAATAAATCTTAAAAAAGTATGCCAATTCCACATGACCAAATCTCTACCCTTAATTTTTTACTATTTTCTTTTTTATTTATTTGACAGGTAGAGTTATAGACAGTGAGAGAGAGAGAGACGAGAGAAAGGTCTTCCTTCCATTGGTTCACTCCCCAAATGGCCGCCATGGATGGCGCTGCGCCGATCCAAAGCCAGGAGCCAGATGCTTCCTTCTAGTCTCCCATTCGGGTGCAGGGCCCAAGCACTTGGGCCATCCTCCACTGCACTCCCGGGCCACAGCAGAGGGCTAGACTGGAAGAGGAGCAACCAGGACTAGAACCGGTGCCCACATGGGATGCTGGCGCTGCAGGTGGAGGATTAACCTAGTGCGCCATGGCTCCAGCCCCCATTGACCATTTTCAACGTGAGATGTCATTTCTTTCATTTTTCTCTCTCTATACCAATTATTTATTTTTTAATAATAAAAAATATTACGGAAAAACCCACACAATGATAATGAAGAGAATTCCAGTCAGATCCCAGAGTTGAGATGGGGGGAGGATTTCATAAACAAAAGGATGATGTAAAATAAAATCTCATGTTCTGCTGTCCATCTGTTATTACAGCTGCTGTTAGGGCTGGGGCTGTTTGGATAAGACCAAGATAACAGGTGCAGGCGCAATGGACAGCGAATGTCTTCTGATTTGCAATGCGATAATGAGTTGCAGTTTATGAGTGCTGAAGGCCTCTGTTGAGAATGTTGGATGCATTACCCGCAAAGTGAGTTTGTTTTAGTACTTCTGGAGGAACCACTAATATCAGAGGTAGACCAGAAATCCATAGATATTCAGCTAGTATTTTATCAATAGACTAATTAAGTGAATGCATAACAAATGACATATTGTATGTATGAATAATGGTTATCTTGTAAACTCCTAGAATGCTAATTTATTGAAAGAATTACAGGCTTCACAATGTCTTCAAGCTTATTGGCTATCTTATCTACTTCTAGAATAATGAGTTTAAACTTTGGTGATGTTTCTAAAACTGGCACAGGATGGGGGAGGAGTATTTTCAGGGGGCACATGAAGGCACAAGATAAATATTACATGCATTTTATTACACATCCATTTTGCTCTAAAATATGGAGGTCTACTTTATATTAAGAATAGTATTGGGTCCAGCATTATGATGCAGTAGATTGTCACCTCTAGTGATGCTGGCATCCCATATTGGTGTGCAATTTGAGTCCTGTCTGCGCTGCTTTTAATCCACCTTTTTGCTAATGCCCCTGGGAAAACAGAAAAAAATGGCATAATTGCTTGGGTCCCTGTTAGCCATGTTGGAAACCAGGATGAAGTTCCTGGCTCCTGGCATTAGCCTGGCCCAGATCTGGCTATGGCAACCATTTGAGAGGGGACCGGGAGATGAAGGATCTCTCTCCTCTGTCTGTCTGTCTGTCTGTCTCTGTGTGTGCGTGTGTGTGTGTGTCTCCTTCTACCTCCATTGCTTTGCCTTTCAAATAGATAAACCTTTAAAAATAATAATATTATGGTCATCTTATAGAATAAAATAAGAAATTTGCTTCAGGTGACATTCTAGGGTATGGGGTACTTAGGGTCAGTAGGTAGATGGGGCACTTCTGTGGAAAATCATGCATGTGTAAAAACTACTTCTCTACACTTGGTTTTTCATTTGTGGTGTGTGTCACAGTGATTTGTGGCCAATAATATTTAAGGTGGTTGGCTAATATTTGTGAATATTTTCTCCCTTCCACCCTACGGTGACCCCCATCCTCCCCTCTTCTTCCATCTCCTCCTCCTCAGTAAACACTAACTGAGAGGCGAGCAAACATGTTTCTGTCCTGGCTTCATCACATACTAGCTGGAGAGTCATGGACCAGTGCTTTACCTTCCTGAGCCTAATTTCAAATCACTTATAAACTTGGTCTCAGACACTTTCCCACAAGTGGAATGCAAGAACATATCCAATTCACTTCAACAGGTTTCCTTTTTGGTGCTCAGTTAGTTGTCACCGATCAGGGAGAACATATCTCAGCCTATGAACAATAGTTAATAGGTGTTAACCTATTCCTAGTAATGGCGAATTGTCAACCTTCTCATTCAATGGAGTGATGCCACAATCTTTAAGACAAGCTGGAGTGATGGATAACTACATGTAACTTTGGTTATGTAAACTCATGAAGATGGGGCCACAAACAACCGTGTGTGTCAGGGTTTGATGATAAATTTTTGTATCACATTACTTGCCCAGGGTGCCCAGGGTGCCCAGGGTGCCTAAAAGCTGTTCTCTCCCCATATGGTCCATTCAACTTCTGAAAATTCTGGATCCCAGAAGGTTTGGCTTTACCCTGTGGCAAAATCTGTCCCCCTGTAACTTCCATCCTACCACAAGGATGCCTCTGATTGGTGGATACACCATGATGATCCTTCTTCCAACTCTGGGTGCAAGGCTGATTTCCCACTATTTTACAGAAGACTGACAGCAGCTTTTGGGTAAGGAGTTGTTATTCC